CCCCTTACCACAAAAGCTAGAGCCTCCAGTACAATTTGAAGAGAAATAGTGGTGGTAGACATATCCTTGTCTTGTTTTCAATCTTAAGGGGAGATGTCCGAAGTTTTACTAGTGACTATAATATTAGCACAGGTTTTTTAAAAGTCTTCAGCAGACATTTCTTTTCTTTTCTTTTTTTTTTTTTTTAAGATTTTATTTATTTATTTGACAGAGAGAGACACAGTGAGAGAGGGAACACCAGCAGGGGGAGTGGGAGAGGGAGAAGCAGGCTTCCTGCAGAGCAGGGAGCCCGATGCGGGGCTCGATCTCAGGACCCTGGGATCATGACCTGAGCTGAAGGCAGACGCTTAACGACTGAGCCACCCAGGCGCCCCTAGCACAGTTATTTTGATGGTATCTTTTATCAGGTTAAGAAGGTTTCCTTTTGGGGGGCCTGAGTGGCTCAGTCAGTTAAGCATCTGACTCTTGATCTCTTCTCAGGGTTTGATCTCAAGGTTGTGAGTTCAAGCGCTGTATTGGGCTCCATGATGGGCATGGAGCCTACTTTAAAAAAAAAAAAAAAGTTTCCTTCTGTTCCTGGTTTTCTAAAGTGTTTTTATTATGAATGGGTATTGAATTTTTTCAAATGCTTTTTCTGCATTTATTGTAATGATTGTATAGTTTTTCCCCTTTATTTTGCTAATGTGGTGAATTACATTGATTTTTCAAATAGCAAACCAACCTTGTGTTCCTGGAATAAATCCCACTTGGTTATGAAGCATTGTACTTTTTATTTTTCTCCAGATTTTATTTGTTAATATTTCATTTTTGATTTTTGTGTCTATATTTGAGATATTATTGGACTATAATTTTATTTTCCTACAATGTGCTTGTCAGATTTTGTTATCAAGGTTATGCTGGCTTTAATATGAGTTGGGAAATATTCTTCTTTTTTTATTTTCTGAATGATTTTGTGTAACACTGTTATTATTTCTTCCATAAATATTTGGTAGAATTTACCAGCAAAACCATCTGGGCCTGGAGTTCTCTTTGTAGGAAGAATTTTTTTTTTTTTTTTTGTAGGAAGGTTTTTAATTACAGCTCAGTTTCTTTAATAGATAATACTGCTCTTCAGATTTTCTCTTTCTTCCTTTGGCAATTTTGATGAGTAGTCTTTTTCAAGAAATTTGTCCATTTCATTTAAAATTTTGATTTTATTGATATAAAATTTTCATAATATCCTCTTATCTTTTAATTTCTGTTGGATTTGTAATGATGCCTCCTTATAATTCTTTGTTTTTGTAGTTTGTATTTTCGCTTGTTTTTTTCTTGTTCAGTCTTGGTAGGGGTTTATTAATTTCATTAATTTTTTTTCAAAAAACCAACTTTTGACTTTGCTTATTTCCTCTCATATGCTTATTTTCTATTTCATTAATATGTTATTATTTCCATCCTTCTTTTGTTGTAATTTGCTGTTCATTACCTAATGTTTTAAGTTGGAAGCTTAGAGTGTTGATTTTCAATTTTTCTATTAAGCTGTAAATTGTTTTCTAGGGACTGTTTTAGCAAACCTCCAAGTTGTCATTCAACTCAGAATATTTTCTAATTTGCATTGTTTTTGATCTAAAGGGTTATTTGGAAGTGTAGTGCTTAACACACTAAAGTGCATCTCTTAAAGTTTGGAGATTGTCTAGTTATTTTTTGTTATTGAGTGTCATGTGAATTCACAGTGGTCAGAGTAGATACACTGAATTATTTCATTCCTTGTAAATTTGTTGAGATTTACTTTATGGCCTAGAATGTGGTCTATGCTGGTAAATGTGCCATGTATACTTGAAAAGAATGTGTAGTCTGCATTTGTCAGATGTAATATTTTTTGTTAATTACATCAATTCGATTAATTGGGTTGGTTCAGATATTCTGTACTCTTACTGATTTTTATCTGTTTTGTTAGTTAGAAAGGTGTGTTTGGATTTATACACACTATTATTTAAACCAAACAGCATTGTGAATGGGCTGTTTCTCCTTTTAGGTCTGTCAGTTTTTGCTTTATACATTTTGAAGCTATGCTATTAAGTGAATATAATTTATGATTTTTATGGCTTTGAATTAAATTGACCATTTTGTCAAAATGAGATGTCCCTCTTTATGTCTCATAATACTTTTTGCCTTAATGTTGTCTGTTACTAATGTTGCCATATCAGGTTTCTTTTCATTAGTATTCATGGTACATCTCTTCCCATCCTTTTATTTTTAACCTTCCTGGGTCTTTATATTTAAAGTGTTTTCTTTCAAACAGTATATAATTGTATCTTTTGTATCTTTTTTTATTTTTTCAAAGATTTTATTTATTTATTTGAGAGAGAGAGAATGAGAGACAGAGAGCATGAGAGGGAGGAGGGTCAGAGGGAGAAGCAGACTCCCTGCCGAGCAGGGAGCCCGATGCGGAACTCGATCCCGGGACTCCAGGATCATGACCTGAGCCGAAGGCGGTCGCTTAACCAACTGAGCCACCCAGGCGCCCTTGTATCTTATTTTTTAATCCAGTCTGACCATCTTTGTCTTTTGGAGTATGTATCCATTACATTTAATGTGATTACAGTTTGCCATGTTGCTTTTTGTTTTCTTTCTCCATTTGTTCCTTTTTTAAAAAAATTATTTATTTATTCCTGCCCATTCTTTTCAATATTGAGTATTTTTATTATTTTATTTCCTTTGTTAGTTTTTACATTATACCTCTTAGTGTCACTCTTTTAAGTCCTTACTGAAAAAAATGACAGAATACATCTTAATGATAGTGTACCATAAATTAGTACTTTTATTATGTCCTGAACAATGCAAGAACCTTACAGTATTTTTATATCATTTAATCTCCCTTTTTTTTTTTTGCAATGTTTTTGTATGTATTTTACTTCCATGTATGTTAAAAATCTCAACAAGACATTGTTAGTGTTGTTGAAAACAGTCAGTAGTTTTGTTTTTACCCACGTATTTACCGTTTCTGGAGCTGTTGATTCTTGCTGACATTTTTGTGCTTCCCTCTAGAATTGTTCCCCTTAAGTTGAAGAACATTTCTTGTAGTATTTCTTGTCTGCCAGTGAGGAATTCTCTTAGCTTTTCTTAGTTGGAGAATGTATTTTGCTCTCACTTTAGAGTACTATTTTCTTTTTTTTAAAAGATTTTTACTTATTTATTCATGAGAGACAGAGAGAGAGAGGCAGAGGCAGAGGGAGAAGCAGGCTCCCTGTAGAGCGGAGTCTGGTGTGGGACTTGATCCCAGGACCCTGTGATCATGACCTGAGCCAAAGGCAGACGCTTAACCAACTGAGCCACCCAGGCGCCCTAGAACACTGTTTTCAGCGGAAATAGAACTCTTGGTAGTTTTGCTTTTTAAAGATGTCCTGATGTCATTCTATTATCTTCTTGCTTTCATTGTTTTTGTTGAGTAGTCAGTAATGTTTTTATTGTTTCTTAGAGCAGTGGTTCTCAGCTGGGAGTGATTTTACCTTCCTTTTACCCCTACCCCAGGGGACATTTGGTAATGTTTGGATATGTTTTGGTTGTCTCAACCCAGGGTGGGGTGTATGCTACTGACATTCCTACAGTGCACAATTCACAGCAAAAAAGGCTCTGATTCAAAGTGTCAGTAGTGCCGAGGTTGAGACACTGTGCCTTAGAGGTCACATGTCTTATTTTTTTTTCTGGTTGTGTACGAGATTTTCTCTCTTTTATTTTTTAGCAGTTTGGTTAGTATATGCCTAGGTTTTATTTTCTTTGTTTATCCTTTTTGGGATGGATTTTAATTCCCCCTAACAGTACACTATCTTTTTATTCATTTTTTTTTTCATCTTTTTTTTTAAATATTCATTGTAGTTATCTTGAAGTCCTTCTAATGCCACTGTTTGGATCACCTCTGGATCTACTTCCAATGACTATTTGATCTTTTGATTAGTGGCTAATTTCTTGTTTCTTTGCATATCTAGTCATTTTAAAATGTGTTTTGATGAAATGTTATGGAGGCTGTGAATTATCTTCCTTTGAAAGATGTTGGATTCTGTTCTGACGGGTGGCTAAATTACCAGCTCTTCACTTTTTTTTTTAAGTAGGCTCCATGCCTGGTGTGGAGCCCAATGTGAGGCTTTAACTCACTATGCTGAGATCAAGACCTGAGCTGAAATCGAGAGTCAGATGGTTAACTGATTGAGCTGGTGTCCCACCAGCTCTTCACTTTTATTCTGTTAGGGCCTTATTTAGTGTTTTGTTGGGTTTGGTCTATTAATGTTTTATATTTCCAGAGTATGGTCATTTTTCCTAAGGTGTGGCCTTTGTGGGGTTTCAACTGAATGTCTGGGATTTTTTCCAAGATCTTTCCAATTTGGCTGGGCTCAAACTCCAACAACTTTTCAACTTTTCTCAGCTTCTCAGCATGTGCTTCCTACGAGGTTCTCTTGTTCTCTCTCAGACTTTTGAAGCCCTGGAGGTGATCAGGAGTGGATGAGAATTTCTGTGCAGATTTTTGGGGTTCTCTTTCTTTGGGGGTAATCCTAGCCATCTTTGCCCAGGACTCTGATCTCTCTTCCCTCTGGTCTCTATTTGGACTTCATTTCAATACCTAATTCCGAGAAGATGCTTCCAGGGGAAGTTCTTGGGGGAATGTTGGATCACCTCATGTTTCTCTTTTCTTTCAGTGACTGGAGCCTTGTATTGATTATAGTCCATGCTATAAACATTTGTTTTGTGTGTTTTGTTCAATTTTAAAGTTATGTATGGTTGGAGAGTAAGTCTTATACCAGGTATTCTTCATGGCCAGATTCTGAAGTATCTCCATTTTCCTTTATAAAAGATTAACTGCTTTTTAAGTCAGATTTATTGCTTTGAAGAAATACTGGTTTGGTTGCCATTATGGAGTAAGTTCTGTATTTCACAGAAGCAAGTGTTAATTGGGTAAACAGCTTATGTCAGTTAACTTATTGTATATAACTTGACATCTTCGTTATCCATTGTATTTTTTGTGCTTCAAGGAATCATCTGTTGCAGTTTGCCTTAGAGTCACCACCCATATCTCCTGCTTCTTCCTCTTCAAAGAACCTTGCTTCCAAAGTACACACTCCTGTAGCCTTCAGACGTTCTTTAAAGCAAGGAAGCAGGTTAATGGAGAATTTCTTGATCAGAGAAACTGGTAGTTCCACATCAGAGTTGTTGATAAAAGAGAATGAGAGTAAATGCACCCCTCAGAAAGAGGTGAGCACTTCTTCAAAGACCAAAGAGACACCTATAGAAAAGGCAGCTCCGTGTTCCTTAGATGCTCATGTTCCTGAGACACCCTCTACATCAACTTTGAAACAGGTTACCAAAGGTAGGAAATTATTTTCATATATGTATTTTCTTACTTAATGGAAATCTTTTCATCCCATATGACCTGAGAATAAATAAGCATCTTTAGGGGGATGGAATGGGAAAGGACAAACCAAATTTTACATTATAACAGTCTCAGAAATTGATGTAGGCAATGCTGCAAGATATTTTTATACTCTTTCTCTCTCACAGAATAGGAATTCAGGCTGATTGCTGGAAAAATGGAACAATTTTAGTTAGCTCATATTTTAACTATGGCAGTAGCTTTTTATTTTTCAGCTTTTAATTTCCCTCCTCATCTTTCATATCAGTTCCAGTTTAATCTTAACGAGCTCATTTTATCTTCTTATACCCCTTTTTGAACACTTCCAAGCTGTTCTGACTGGCATTTATAGCCATAGACAATTTGACCCCTCCCCTAGATGTCTGACCTCCATCTCAAAAATCCTTCTGCGCTAGCCAAACTGATCTTTCCATTATTCCTTGAATACACCCAGAGATTGGAAAAACTACAAGCTGCAGGCCAAGTTTGGCTTGACACTTTATTTTTGTAAGTAAAGGTTCACTGGAAAATAGCCACACCCATTTGTTGACATATTGTTTATGAATGCTTTCATGCTCCATGGCAGTGATTAGTAGTTGTAACACAGACCATCTAGCCTGCAGAGCCTAAAATCTCTACTAACTGGCCCTTAACTAAAAAGGTTTGCTAGGGCGCCTGGGTGGTTCAGTCGGTTAAGCGTCCAAGTCTTGATTTTGGCTCAGGTCATGATATCAGGGTTGTGAGATCGAGCCCTGCATTGGGCTCTGTACTCAGCAGGGAGCCTGCTTGAGATCCCCACCCAACCATGCTCACTCACCTGCACGCTCTTGCTCTCTTAAAAAAAAAAAAAAAATTTGCTGACCCCTGTTTTATCTTTCTAGATTCTATCCAGATCCTAACCATTCTTTGGTTATGTTAGACAATATTGACATCTCACATCATGAAAGTGTTACGGCACTTGTTTTCTGGACTATTTTGTGTATAGTTTGCTTTTTTGATGACTCGATCAGCTTGTTTAACCTATTGTTTCCATGTTTCCTCTTACCCGTGAAGTTCAGATCACCTTTTAGGCAGAAACTATGTCTTAGACATCTTTGGTATGCCCACATCATACACAGTGCAGGGCAATTAGTGGTTATTCATTTTAGTTTTTTTTAAAGATTTTATTTATTTATCTGAGGGAGAGGGAGAGAGAGAGAGAGAGCATGCACAAGAGAGTATGAACAGTTGGGAGGGGCAGAGGGAGAGGGAGAAGCAGACTCCTTGCTGAGCACGGAGCCTGATGACACAGGCTTGATTCCAGGACCCTGAGATCATGACCTGAGCCGAAGGCAGATGCTCAGCCAACTGAGCCACACAGGCGCCCCGCAATTAGTGGTTATTAAACTTAGATTGAAGTTAGCGTATTAATACTCAAGGGTTTAAATTTTGTAAGGAGGGGCTTGGGGTCCTGAGATTGAGCCCTGCATCAGGCTCCCTGCTAGCAAGGGAATCTGCTTCTCCCTCTGCCCCTGCTCATGTGCTCGCTCTCTTGCTATCTCTCTCTCTCAAATAAATAAATAAATAAATAAAATCTTAAAAAAAATAAAATTTTTAAGGATATGTGGATCTTGCATTTCCTACCCTACCTTTTGTCAGTCTATCAATTGACAGTTGTTGTAGTGTTTTTAGCTTGATAGTTAATTTTTTCCCCCTAACAGACCAGTTTTTTTCAAATGAAATCTTACCATGAACTGTAAAACATAAAATAGATAAAATTGGCCTTGCTCCCTTGAAGTAGAGATGGAGGCCCTGACCTCCTGCTTCATCCCAGCCTTTATCATGGTGGCCTCTGGGCCCCAAGATTCTTCCACAGTTCTCTGCAACTTCGTCAAACAGTTTGAGAATGATTGTGTTTCCTAATGGCAACACTACATTTGTAATTACAAATGAGAGCTAAATTATCGAATTTGTAACCATTGCTGATTTGAACAGTAGTTGGCCCAAACCAACAAATGCTTCAGTTTAGCTTTGCATACTCTCTCATCCCCAGCCAGGTGTATCTTATTCATGTTGTTACGATTGCTACAGTGCTACATATGAATGACTCCTGGACCAGAAAACTTAAGATTAGTTCTATAGGCTGGTCACACCTCTGTAGAAAAGACTTAACCAAAGCATTTTCTAATAAATGAATCCCCAGACTTCTTTGCAATCTCTTCCTGTAGGCTGCAGATTCTAATTATGTGACTTACCACAATTTAGCCATTACTCAGTGAATAGTCTCTCCCAATCCTGTTGCCTTGAGGTGTCATTCTTTTTCTCTTCTGCTTTTCTAAGTGCATGTTAAGGTTGGGATTGTTTTTTTTTTTTATATTAATTGCTAAAAGATGACAGGTTATACATTATTTTTGCCCTTTCTGTAAATAATAAAGTCTCTCTTTCTCTTTTTAAAAAAATACAGTGGATTGTCCTGTTTGCGGGGTTAATATTCCAGAAAATCACATTAATAAGCACTTAGACAGCTGTTTAACACGTGAGGAGAAGAAGGAAAGCCTCAGAAGGTAAGAAAGTTAAAGCATAACCATTGAGCTACTTTAACAAGGTACTTCTTGTACTATTTGCCACCTCTTCCATTCTGTCTCCTTCATCCTGAGCGTTATTTCCCATAAACCATGAGAATCTGGTGACCTGCATTTCTCCTTAGAAATGTTTCTCCCTGGGGCGCCTGGCTGGCTTGGTCAGGAGAGCATGTGACTCTCAATCTCAGGGTCCTGAGTTCAGGCCCCACATTGGGCATGGAGCCCACTTAAAAAAAAAAAGAAATGTTTCTTCCTGAGGAATGAGTTTCAAGTGTAAAGGCTGAGCATGTTCTCCTTGAATAGTAAGAAGTCAACACTGATACTCTTGCTTGGACTGCTCTTTTTCTAGATGCATCTTTCATAGTTCTTCTAATACATTTAGTTCTGTCAGTTTATCCAAGAACATACTCATCCATACATAATTAAGTTCAAGTTCCAATAGTGGTTCCAAACCCTGCTCCTTGGAATACTGTAGTCCTGCCGTTTGCTCTGGCTTGCAGTTTAGAAGCACTGCATATCATATCTCTCTTAGGGAAAGATTCACTATACCAGTGAGTGTATTGAAGGATCTGAGAAGTCCTACATCAAAGGTAATTGTTGGATTTTATTTAATCCAGTAATTACTACATTATTTGACCCCAAAATCTTTTTTTTTTCCCCAAGATTTCATTTATTTATTAGAGAGAGTATGAGCAGGGGGAGGGGCAGAGGGAGCAGACTCCCTACTGAGCAGGGAGCCCGCTGTGGGGCTCCATCCCAGGACCCTGAGATCATGACCTGAGCCAAAGGTAGACGCTTAACCAACTGAGGCACTCAGGCACCCCTTGACCCCAAAACCTTTCTGTCCTCATAATTTACATCTTAAAAAACTAATTTGTAAAGATATGTTTAGGGGAACATTGAGCTGCATTTCTCTTAAGTTACATCCTGGTCCTGGGGTCTGTCTGGTCAAATAAAAGATACTGTGGCATTTAGAACATTTTATCTACAACACCCTGACAGGCCATTTCCTTGTTAGGGGTGATAACCCTTAACCCCCTATGTAGAATCGTATCAGAGTTGATTCAAAGAATATTTTTCCTTTTGATGTCTTCAGATTCTGAGGACCCTTAAATGCATTACTCATTTTCACTAAATCATGGAAGAAGGATCAGTGTTATCTTCATGTTTTGGGAATCATCTATCAGGCTTCATATTTTAAAATTCTGGATAGAAATTGTTGATATCTGCGGGTGCTTTTCATCGTAAATGCCAGTGAACAGTACAGTTTCCCATTCGAATTTCACAGTCATCAGTTTAATTGTCTGTACTTGATAAAATAAATGTTTCAGATACAGGCTTAATGAACTATCCCTCACAGTGTGCTTGTATAAACTCGTACAAAATGTTTCAGCTCTTGCTACCCACTGTGATTTTATTTAGCTGTAATCTTACCTGTTTTGTAGAGCCCACTGGGTAGTTTTCAGAAAAATGTAATCTCTTGAGTTTGTAGGTCCTTCTATAGTTAAATAGTTATCTCTGGCTTTTAGACATTATTGATAAAGCATAAAAGAAATAATTTAGTCAGGGAATGGTACTGTTGATTAATAGAAAAATGTTTGGTTGTTTTCAGTCTACATATATTCAACTGTACTATTTCTCTCAGTATAGTCTTTGGGCCATTTACATCAGATTTACCCTATGGAAGCTTGTTAACATAGATTTTAGGTCTCCACTTCAGAACGTAATCAGAATTGGGGGGTGTTATGGAGACGTGACCAAGAATCTGCAATTTAATAAACTCTCTTGGTGATTCCAAGATTCACTCCAGTTTGGGTAGCATGGCCTTGAAGGCAAACTAGTTATATACAAGTCCTTTGTAAAATCATGGGGTTTTTTTTGATAAACCGTTTACTTTCAAGTGCTTATTAATTTTTACTGGAAACTTTGGTATTTTAATTTTGAAATATTGGAATTGTAATGACTACTTTGAATGCATATTTATTAAGCACCTAATTGCCATGGTGTTGAGCCAAGTAACGTACTGAGAGAGCCAGGTTATAATCAGATTAAATAGATTAAAGCTCACTAAGGAGTTCCTGTTTATAAAATTATCTCAAGTCATTGATACCCTTAGGTAGCTTGACTTTTGTTCCATTTTAAGAAGTAATGTTTATTAACTGGTTTTTTTGGAGGGAGCAGAAAAAAGTCATTTAATAGGACTCTGCTGTATTAAATTGTAGCTTAGTGCTTGTCAGTGTATTAATTATATAAATAGAATGAAGAGCCAGGTGGTGGTTTTGCTAATACACTTGTAATCCTTATATATTTGTTAATATAATTAATTGAAGTTGAAGGGAATAAAACCCTCTTGTATTTCTTGCTATTGTTTTCAATCGTGTTCTTTGAAGATGATGCCATAAGAATATTATCTACCTGTCAACTTTCAGAATTCTTTTTTCATTGGCAGTAAATAATTGGGTAAAGCTAACCATCCCAACACATCTTTTATTTAATCTAGAACTTTTGTACAATGTTTGCCTCCACTTTGAGGGGGCAGTTTTGCCTGTGGATCAGCACTTTTTCTAAAGCAGATATATTCTTAAATTTGTAGTCTAATCTCAATAGTGTTTGTACTCTGATCATCTGAGGTAATGGTTTTTTGCAGATATTTTGCATGGAAACCATGGGCACATTTTAGGACAACATGCTTTAAAGCAGTGGAGAATTGAGGAAGTCGATGTAAGTGTGATTCTGAAGTGAGGTTCTTACAGCATTTAGTGCACATTTCCATGGGCGTCCCGGGTCTGCATCTTTAGGCCTGACCTCTTTCTGAGACCTATATTTCTCTAAGGTTGGCTGCCACCTAGACCCTGGTAGCTGAATGTGCCGTAGGCACCTCAGATGCTTCATGTCCAACATTGTCAACCTTATTTGCAAATTTAATTCTTCTCTTTCCCATTTTATATTAATGGTTCCACTATTTTCCCAGTCACACTGGTACTGCATCAGAAGGCAAATTAACTGTTTTATGTGAAGAGCATTTGATAATGCACAATAACTCTAAGTAATCTCTTTTTTCCCCCTTTTTAGTTCTGTTCACAAAAGGAAGCCTCTGCCCAAAACTGTATATAACTTGCTCTCAGATCGTGATTTAAAGAAAAAGCTAAAACAGCATGGATTATCTATTCAAGGAAATAAACAACAGCTCATTAAAAGGCACCAAGAATTTGTACACATGTACAATGCCCAGTGCGATGCTTTGCATCCTAAATCAGGTAAACTAATAAAGCAATTAATTCTTCTTGTTTTCTGGTTAAAGCAATTTTGTGTAGCTCAGAGATGATAAGTCATAGAAAAAAATTTTAATAAATATAATTTTGATAATAGATGAGAATTCCTTCAAAAGGTACCTAGACTGATGAATCACAGACCTGTACCTCTGAAACAAATAATACATTATATGTTAAAAAAAAAAAAGAAGATAGTAGGAGGGGAAAAATGAAGAGGGGGAAATCAGAGCGGGAGATGAACCATGAGAGACTATGGATTCTGAGAAACAAACTGAGGGTTCTAGAGGGGAGGAGGGTGGGGGGATGGGTTAGCCTGGTGATGGGTATTAAAGAGGGCACGTATTGAATGGAGCACTGGGTGTTATATGCAAACAATGAATCATGGAACACTACATGAAAAACTAATGATGTAATGTATGGTGATTAACATAATAAAATAAAATTTAAAAAAAATCTTCAGGGAGTCCGCAAAAAAAAAAAAAAAGGTACCTAGAGTATTCTCTGATAAGCCTTTCCCGCAGCCGGTCTCTTAGTCACTATTCCCTTCTCAGAGGCAACCACTGCCTCCGGTTTCTTTCGTATATCTTTCCAGAGATAGTGTGGGATGAAGAGTTGATCTAGAGAGCCAGGGTTATAATCCCAGTTCTGCAGCTTTATGACCAGAAGACTGTGGGCAAGTTACTTATTATCTCAGTTTTCTCATCCATAAAATAAGGGTTATAATACTGCATACTGCATAGTGTTTTGAAAGGAATAAATGAAAAGTGCACATCTTTTAAAAAAGATTTTTATTTATTTATCTGAGAGAGAGAAAGAACAAATGAACAAGTGGGGGTGGGGTGGGGGAGAGGCAGAGGCAAAGGGAGAAGCAGGCTCCCCACTGAGCAAGGACCCCTCAACTCGGGACTTGATCCCAGGACCCTGAGATCATGACCTGAGCCAAAGGCAGATGCTTAACCAGTTGAGCCACCCAGGCGCCCCATGTTTAGCACATTTTTATATGCTTATTGACCATCTGGATATCCTTTTTGGTGAAATACCTTTTTAAGTGTTACGACCAATTTTTTTTATGCTGTGTATCCCTTTTTTTTCTTATGTATTTGAGGGAGTGCATGAAATTTTCTGTATACAGATCTTGCTGCATATATGTGTATCTAATCTCTTCTTTCACTCACCTTTTCACTCTCTTAAATCAGATATCATTCAAGAATACAAGTTCTTAATTGTACTATTTAATCTTCTGCATTTTTCCTTTGGTTAGTGCTTTTTATGTCCTTGCCTACTACAAAATTAGGAGGATTTTCTTTTCTTCTAAAAGTTTTATTTTTGCTTTTACATTTTGACCTATAATTTATCTGGAATCTATTTTAGCATATGTTGTGAGGTAAGGGCAAGATTCTCCTGTTTTTCCATATGGATAGGCAATCAATGCAGAACCATTTATTGAAAAACCATCCTTTCCCTGCTGAATTGTCAGTACATCTTAACTGAGAATCAGGTAACTGTGTATGTGTGGGTCTTGGACGTTGTTTTGTTCCATTAAGTCACATTTAGCCTTCTGTCAGTAGTGCGTTGTCTAAATTACTTTATGAGTAATTTTTTTTTTTTAAAGATTTTATTTATTTATTTGACAGAGAGTGAGACAATGTGAGAGGGAACACAAGCAGGGGGAGCAGGAGGGGGAGAAGCAGACTTTCCGCTGAGCAGGGAGGCCTATGCGGGGCTTGATCCCAGGACCCTGGGATCATGACCTGAGCCGAAGGCAGATGCTTAACGACTGAGCCACCCAGGTGCCCCCTTCATGAGTAATTTTCAATAGATCTTGCTGCCTGGCAATGTGGTTCCTCTAGTTTTGTTTTTTTGAGATTGCCTTGGCTTTTCTAGGCCCTTTGCATTTCCATGTAAATTTTAGAATAAGCCTATAAAATTTCATCAAGAAACTAAAATCTGCTTGGATTTTGATTGGGACTATGTTGAATCTGTAGATCAATTTGGGGAAAGTTGGTATCTGTACACTATTTGAGTGTTTCAGTTCATGAATTTGGTTTATCCCTTTAGTTTTTCATTTCTGTCAGTAATGTTTTATAGTCTTCAGTATGAAGGGTTTTTTTTTAAAGACTTATTCATAGGTATTTGATGTTTTTGATGCAGTTGTAAGTGGTGTCTTATTTTAAATTGTCAATTTTTATTTTTTTGTCATTGGTATGTAAAAATATAACTAATTTTTATACATATCTTGTACCTAGCAACTTGTTATTTACTCACTTTTTATGTGTACATTTTAAAATTGATGTATAATTATCCTTTTATTTTTATTTTTTAAAGGTTTATTTATTTGAGAGAGAGAGAGGGAGAGTGCAGTGGGGAGGGGCAGAGGGAGAGGGAGAGAGGGTCTGAAGCAGACTCTACACTGAGTGCAGAGCCCTACAAGGTGCTTGATTTCACAACCCTGAAATCATGACCTGAGCTGAAACCAAGAGTTGGACGCTCAACTGACTATGCTACCCAGGTGCTCCTGTAATTCATCCTCTTAGAGTGTACAGTTAAATGAGTTTTGACAAATGTATGCGGAGTCATTTAGCTATCATTTCAGTCAAAATATAGAACATTTTCTTCTTCAAAAGTTCCTCTGCCCTTTTGTAAGGCCCTGGGATATACTGATCTTTTATGTTTCTATAGTTTTGCCTTTTCTAAAATGCCAGACAAATGGAATTATACATATTGTACATTATGTAGTCTTTTATATCTGGCTTCTTTCACTTAGTGCAGTGCTCTTGAAATTTATTCGTGTTGCTGTATTTATCAGTAGTTCACTCATTTTTATTGTCAAGCAGTGTTCCAGTTTTTGGCTATTATGGATAAAGCTTCGATGAACATGGGCTTACAGATCTTTGTATAGCCATATGTTTTCATTTTTCTTGGATAAATACCCAGTAGTAGAATTAGTGGGTCGTATGGTAAGTGTATGCTTAAAAGTAAAGAAATTGCTGAACTGTTTTTTAAATGGCTACAGTATTTTTCATTGTATGAGAGATCCACTTGCTCCACTTCCTTGTAAACACTTAGTATTTTCAGTCTTCCTAATTTTAGCCATTCTGTTGGATATGTAGTGGTATCTCATGATGCACGTATGCCTGTGTACTATATGTGTATGTACCCATGTAAATCCATTTACACTTACATGCATTGGAAATCATGAGAACATACTGATACCTGTGCTTACAGTCCAACCCCACAGAGTTCTTTACCTTTCTCTATTACATATTTATATTTGCCTTTTTTTTTTCTGCCATGGGGAGAATCCTCCCTTCAATAGCATTAGCACATTTACAACAGCACATCTAAAATAGTTTCAGAATTGCTTCATCAGTACTACTACACCACTGCAAAACAGACCTATCTGTAAGAAAGAATTCAGGATATTTTTAGTTCTCTCTCCCAGACTTCCTCTCCCCTCCTCTCTTTGTTGGACTGAGGGTATGTAGTCAAATATTGTGTTCATAATTTCCTTTTTATCTTTCTTCATTGTGATTTGGTTTTTTACTGAAATACAGTGGGGTTCATTTGTTTCACTTTGTTTCTAGTTGTTGTTATTTAGTTGTCCCTTCCAAGTATAAGACATTAATAACTTAAATGTAACATTTAAACTACTTTAAGAAGATATATTTTTATAATGGACCACTGGCTGTCATAAAAATATTACATACAATAGCAGTTTTGTTTTGAGAGTGCTCCTAATTACTCTTGAAGCATTTTTTAAAACATTTTTTTTATTTAAATTCAATTAACATATAATATATATTGGTTTCAGAGGTACAGGTCTGTGATTCATCAGTCTTACATAATACCCAGTGCTCAGTACATCACGTGCCCTCCTTAATGCCCATCATCCAGTTACCCCAGCCTCCTACCCACCTCCCCTCCCAGCATCCCTCAGTTTGTTTTCTATGATTAAGAGTCTCTTACGGTTCGTCTCCCTCCCTAGTTTCTTCTTGTTTTATTTTTTCCTCTCTTCCCATATGATCCTCTGTTTTGTTTCTTAAATTCCACATACCAGTGTACTCTTGAAGCATTTTTATGATGGTAGCTTTAAAATTCTCATCAGATAGTTTCAAGATTTGAATCATCTCTGTGTTTGTCGATTGCCTTTTCTCATTGAAGTTATGATTTTCCTCCTTCTTAGTTGACAAGTGTTTTTTATGTGTCTTAGACATTTTGACTGTAATATGAGATTCTAGCTCCTTTTTTAATATTCTCCTTTAGCAGGCAGTCACTCTGTTTAGGTTTAGTTTGCAGATCTAGGCCTGCTTCTGTGGACTATGGTACTAATGACAAGTTAGTTTTCAGAGCTCTTGCAGTGTTGTTCAGAGCTGCTTCATTTAATTGCTACCTGGGGGGCACTCAGAAAACCTGGTATTCCATACTGTGCTTCAGTTCTCAGACCTATTGGCCTATTAATTTAATTTTATTTTTTTCAAAGATTTTATTTATTTGTCAGAGAGAGAGAGCACGTACAAGCAGGGGGAGCGGCAGGCAGAGGGAGAAACAGACTCCCCACTGAGCAGGGAGCCCGATGTGGGGCTCGATCCCAGGACACTGGGATCATGCCCTGAGCCGAAGGCAGATGCTTAAATGACTGAGCCACCCAGGCGCCCCTGGCCTATTAATTTTAGAATATTTCACATGTGAGTGGGTCAGGAGTGTGTTTAGGATTTGCTGTGCAGGTTTAAAGAATGCTTTTCTTCAGGTTTTTTCTCTTTGAGATCCTCACTCCAATCACTAGTTAGGGGGTGGGAGGGTGCTGCCTGCTACTGGTGGGTGAGGGATAGAGGTCTAGGTTACTCACTAGGTCTCTACTGGCACAGTGTTGCTGGAAGAGAAAAACTGTCCCCAGTCTTCCTGTTACTGCTGGGGGAGAAGGGGAGTGGAATCCACACCCTACACTTATTCTCTCATGATACTTTAGTGGGCAGGATTTAGTTGGAGTAGTTCAGGTATTGTCAAAAAGTTTTTTGGTCTCTTCCTTTCATAGTCCTTTGCTAGAAAGAAAATGCTTTCTTGGAGATTTGTGTGTGTATGTGTGCATGTGTGTATGTGTGTGTGTATGTGTGTGTGTGACAGTTGGTGGTTCTGGGTTGCAGCTTCACCAGTGCCCAGTCTGGGATATATAGAAGATAAAGAGAAAGCCTAGGGAACTCACCATCATGTTGTTCCTTAAATTCTGAGACCCTTAGCCAGTCCATCTTCCTCCTTCTATCTTTCAGAGTTCTCTTATTCAGAGTCTGTTATTATATTACATCTAAGGGTTTTAGTTATACTTAGGAAGAATATGAGAAATGAGTCAAGTCCATCTTCTTCAGAACTAGAAGTTCTTGGGGGTGCCTGGGTGGCTCAGTCGTTAAGCGTCTGCCTTCGGCTCAGATTGTGATCCCAGAGTCCTGGGATTGAGCCCTGCATTGTCTCCCTGCTCAGCAGGAGGCCTGCTTCTCCCTCTCACTCCTCCTGCTTGTGTTCCCTCTCTCGCTGTGTCTCTCTCTGTCAAATAAATAAAATCTTTAAAAAAAGAAAAAGAACTAGAAGTTCTTGTTCATTTTTAATTTCTGTTCTAGGTGCAAACACATATAGGAAAGTTATGTTTTCTTAGTGAATTAACCCCTTTATCATTATATAACCTCTCTTTTTTTTAGATTTTATTTTTATTTATTTATCAGAGAGAGAAAGAGAGAGAGAGAGCACAAGAAGGGGAGCGACAGGCAGAGGGAGAAGCACTGGGATCATGACCTGAGCCAAAGGCAGATGCTTAATTGACTGAGCCACCCAGGCGTCCCTATAATTTCCCTCTTCATCCTTGACAACATTCATTTTTCTAAAGTCTGTTGTGCCTGATATTAATACAGCTATTCTGCCTTTCTTCTCATTAGTATTTATACGATACATCTTTCTCCATACCTTTATTTTGAGCCTGTCTATATCTTTTATTTAAAGTGAGTACTTTGGGGATGCTGGGGTGGTGGCTCAGTCATGATCTTAGGCCCAGGTCATGATCTCAGCGTCCTCGGATCCAGCCCCAACTTAGCACGGAGTCTGCTTGTCCCTCTGTCCCTCTCCCTGCTCATGCTCCCTTTCTCTTTCTCTCAAATAAATAAATAAAATCTTAAAAAAAAATAAAATGGGTTCTTTGCTGAAAGCATATAGTTTGTTCTTGGTTTTTTTACTCTAATCTGCATTTTCTGTCTCTTATTTTTGCTTTTAGATCATTTACATTTAATGTAATTATCAGTAACAAGTTGGCTTTACAGTTAAAATCTTGCTAAGTGTTTTCTGCTTGTTCTGTCTGCTTTTCGTTCCATTCATTCATTCATTCATTCTCTTTTGGATTGAGTCTTTTTTACTAATACATTTTATTTCTGTTTTGGGCTTATTTTCTCTTTTTCAGAAAGTTTTAGTGGTTGACCTAGGGTTTGTAATAACCACCTTTAAGTAGTCACAGTCTACCTTCAAATGATATACTTCATTTGTAGTATAAGAACCTTACAACAGTATACTTCCAATGCCTAATTCTTTGTGTTGTTGTCATGAGTTTTACATTTTTACCTATGCTGTTAACACAATATCTTGTTTTCCTTTAAACAGACAGTTATCTTTTAGAGTAGTTAAAATAAGAAGAATATATTTTGCATTTACCTTCACTTTTACCATTTCTAGCACTCTTTATTTTCTCTTATAGGAAGAGATAAAGAAGAGATAAGTTTCTTGTTTCATATTTCTTCTGCTTAAGCAACTTCCTTTAACGCTTTTATGGTATTGGTCTGCTAATAATGCATTCTCTGTTTTTGTTTGTCTCAGAAAATGTTTATTCATCCTTCACTTTTGAAAAATATTTCCATTGGTATAGAATTCTGGATTGGCAGGGGTTTTCCCCTATACTTTTAATTCATCACTCCATTGTCTTCTGGCTTGAATGGTTTCTGATGAAAAGCATGATATAATGCTTGATTTTTCTTTACGTAATACACTCTTTTTCTCTGGCTCACACAGATTTTCTCTGTGTGTCAGTGTGTATATATGTTATTGTATTTTTGTTTTGTTTTGTTTTTGCATTTATTCTGCATATATTTGTGGTTTGGTGTCTTTAATTAAATTTGGCAAATTTTGGCCATTGGGTCCTAAAATATTTTTTCTTTTCCCTTTTTTCTTCCTCTTTTGGGATTTCTGTTACATGTATGTTAGGCTTTTTAATATTGCTCCATAGCTGTTAGTGCTCTGTATCTAAGAGTGCAAATTTATATTTAGTATATTGGAATTTGAGTGGATATCTTGCTAAGAATTGGATTCACACTAACAAGTTAATTTTCATATTCCACTGGGACTGCTATTTATACCTATATTCTTAAAGAGCAAAATTACTGTACTCTTATAGTTGTGTCTTAAACTGTTCTGCATGTGTAAGAATTCAATGTTTTATTCCATGTTATTTTTATAATGTGTTATTTTGAAATAACTTTGGACTTAGAGAAAAATTTTAAGAGTAGGACAGGGCGTTCACATATACCCATCTTCCAGCTTTAGAGTTAACACCTTACATAACCATAGTACAATGATGAAAACCATATAATTAACATTGGCTCTGTGTCCTTATTTTAACAGCTGCTGAAATAGTTCAAGAAATTGAAAATATGGAGAAGACTAGGATGCGTCTTGAAGCTAGTAAACTCAATGAAAGCGTATGTTGATGGTGTATTTCATTATCTGGGTAGAAATGATGGAAAGAAAAATTGAGTGCCCTCATAAAATTAAAGCATGCCAGAATTAAATCTGTTCAATAGGAAATGTCCTGGGACATATTTCCATTTAATGTATTATGATTTACTTGGAGTTCATTTTTAGCACAGAATTCTGTCACATTTAGCAGTCTTCTAGGACAAAATACAGTTATAGTCCTATAGAAAAAGCATATGCCTGTACATCAGATGGCCTTGATATTAGTTCTTTCTCTGCTGGTTGCGTTTGATGAGCTCTTTAATATCTGTGGCCCTTGGGATCTTTGTCTGTAAAACTCAGGGGTTGAACTATACGATCTCTAAGATCCCCCTTTAGCTCTGGCATTCTGCAATTCTGTGATTATACTGATGGAGAAATTAAGTAATTATAAAACTTTATGAGGATTGAGTATCTATTGAGCTTATTGAGGGAATCAGAGACTTAAAATTCTTCACTATTGCCTTCCTCTAGCTTGATGGTCCAAAACTTGAGGAAAGGATACCAAAGAAGAAAATAGTCATTGTGTCCTATGACACTGGAGGAAGTGTTTTGGGCTCTCCCAAGTAGACTTTTTTTCCTAGACCATCGGTAATGTGTCTGTAAGGAAAGCTACGACCTTAGGGAAGTAAGTTTATAATCAGATAGTAGAAAAAAAATGAGATTTTCATTGACTTTATCATTACCTGTGTGCTAACTGTAAGATGGAGGCTATAATGAATCATGTAAGTAGATTTCTGATCTTTTAAGTCTTAAGATTTTCAAAAGTGGAGGTAGAAATTTAATGTGCTAAAGTCTTACAATATCATATTTTCTTTATATGTTAACTTTCCAGTAGAATTGGAGAAGTTCGGTTGGAAAAGGGAGAAGACAAACAAGAAAATCTGCCTTATTAATGATCTGCTAAATGCTTCTTCAGTCTTGTAGTTTCAAATATTACTTGTATTAATGAATGTGAAAAATTAAATATTGAAAATAGGAATTTAATTGTTGTGTTAATACTTCATCTTAGTGTTAATCTGTATATTAGTGTTGCATTTTCTACACATAAGAAAACAGTAGTAAAAGGTATACTAATTATGCTATTCAAGGGAAGTTCGCAGGAGTTACTCTTCCTAGGTTTCTATAAAACAGAGATAAGAGATTATTTTCCCCTGTTCTAAACATCCACATTTGAGATTTTAAAGTTTGTAATACTAATTTCTGTTTTTGTCATATTTTGAATTTTTAATTAAGTTTTTTTGGATTATTTTAGATAATGGTTTTTACAAAGGACCAAACAGAAAAGGAAATAGATGAAATTCACAGTAAATATCGTAAGTTGTGTGGCATCTTCTTTATTTACAGAGAACTTGGGTTGCAGATTTTCATCTTAAGTAATTTTTTAAAATAAATTTTTATAGTAATATTTGATATAAACATTTCTTGTTAATATTACCTAAGCAACTGAATTTTGGTTGAGTGGTTTATTCAGTGACGTTTTCTGTAGGTCTGTGTGCCTGCTTTTTGATTTCTAACATTCTACTTTGAGCTTATCACTAAGCACTTTGTAAAATATTAATTAGCTGTCTCAAAGCATCTCTCTGAAAATAAAATGGAATTAAAATGGAAACTTTCCTGACTTTCCATCTGTCCTCAGGCCACTCACTGGCAATACTTTTGTGAAGAATTTTAGCACTTCTGTGGCTTGCAAATTTGTGCCAAAAATATTTTTCATTTTATCAGTTATTACCAACTTCCAAATTACTTCCTTTTCCTTATTAGGCCTTTGTATGTATCTTTTCCCGGGCCAGCGCTTCAGTGTTTTGTCAATTCGGTAGCTATTATTGCTTGGTTGGTTGCATTTTTAGTTTAAATTTAAGTGCCTTACAAACAGGTAGTTGATAAATTTTTGTTGAATGAGTATTCCACACGTGATATGTTTTAGTTGTGCTAAGAGAATTTTGTTTTCTTCTTTTAGTTCTTAAGCTTTGAATGTGTAAGTTCAGTACTGATCTGCTTGGGGAGGGGGGAATAAAGTACACAGGCACTAGATACAGGTGTGATGGCCTGTGCCTTACTAGAGTAGGAAAAGAAGCCTCAAGTATTCATGGACCACAGACTGAACAACAAAAGTCACTGTTTTTCTGTTGTTAGATAAATGTAATGGGAGCGTCCTTAATCAAGTTTTGGGAAGTCAACGTGATTTTTCTTGAGATAGGAAATCGAGACTATCAAATGATCATTGAATTGTCAAAAATAAGTCCTGTAAAAATAAGGATACTAGAAAATTTGCTTGGAGAGAAAGTAATTTAAATCACTAAAAGGATACCATACTGAGAAACAATGCCATACTGAGAAAAATGTGGATTAGATTTAGGCAAGAAAATATACAACTATCTATTGCTCCCCATTTACATATAAAAAAAAAGTCTAACTTCACTAGGTAGGTCGTATTAAATTAATGCATTTAGCCCTAAAACCTCCATATCTAATTAAAAAAAAATACATGAACAATTCTTAGAAAGATACAAATTACTAAATCGTATTCAAGAAGAAGTAGATAGGCAAATTGAATTTGCAGTCCCTGAAGAAATGCCAGGTCCAAATGGGTTTACTGGTGAATTCCATGAAATATGTAAGGAAGGAAATAATATCAATTCGATACATATTCTGCTAGAAGATTGAAATGCAAGGAATACTTCCTACCTCATTTTATGAGGCTGAAGTTTCCATGAAACTACAAACCAAAGACAATGTAGTAAAAGTTCTGACTAGTAATCCTCATGAACACGGATGCAAAGATCCTTAACAAGATTTTAATAAATTAAATCTGGCAGTACATATAAAGGATGATACATCATAACCAAGTGGGATGTATCCTAATAAGGCAAGATTGGTTTAATTTTAGAAAATTCATCATTGTAATTCACTGTATTAAGTGACTGAAAAAAAACCACTATATGATTCTCTAAGTGGGTGCAGAATAAGCATTTGACAAAATTGAACACCCATTAATAATAAAAACTCTTACTAAAATAGAATTTCTTCAATCTGATAAGGAATATCTACAGAAAACCTACAGCTAGCATCATAATTAATGATGAAATAGTAAATGCTTCTCTTCTGATTGGGAACAAGGTAAAGGTGTCCATTCTCACCTCTTTTGTTCAACATTGTATTTACAGTGTGAAGAAGCAGGAATAAATAGTATACAGATTTGAACAGAAGGAATAAAACTATATTCACAGCCGAGATGATCATCTTTCACAAATAGTTTGAATCATAAAAGAAAAAGCTTAAAGAAAATGTGATAAGTTATATTTCAGTAGAATTAAACTTTTACTCTTTAAAAGGCAAATATAAAAATGAAAAATCAAGCTACAGATTGTGAGAAAATATTGTAAAATTTATATTTGACAAAGTACTAGTGTCTATATTATGTTCTATATATGTACTATATTCTTTAGAACTCTTACAATTCAGTAAGGCAAATACCATATTTTTTTTACGAGGGCAAAAGATTTAAACATTCTTCAGCAAAATAGGTATTCAAAAACCAAATAACCACATGAAAATATATGGTTAATCTTATTAGTCTTTAGGAAAATATAATTTTAAATGAAATAATACAAAAAAATAAATTAAATAATACTATGTACTTACTTTAATGGAAAAAAAGCAAAAAAGGATAATACCAAACTGCTGGTCAGGATGTACAGCAAATGGCAATCTTATACATTGCTGGTGAGAATGCAAAGTGACACAGTCACTTAGGTAAACCGTTTAGCAGTTTGCTTTAAAGTCACATACCTACATATAGCCCAGTCATTCTACTCCTAGCTGTTTATTCAAGAGAAATGAAAGCATATGTCCACACAGAGATTTTTGAAAGCAGGTTTATTGAGATATAATTTCCAAAAAATAAAATTCATCAGTTATAATGAACAATTTGAAGGATATTATTGACACATGTTATAGCAGTTTATTCATATTATCCTAAACTGAAAACAACCTAAATATCCGTAAACACATCCGTATACAATGGAACAGTACTTAACAATAAAAAAAAATTAACTCGAAGTGCTGCTGGTTCTGAGGGTGGAGCATTTTAAAGGTCATCTGCACCTTTGGACTGGGAAAAGATGGTCAACGTCTTGAAAGGAGTGCTAATAGAATGTGACCCTGCCATGAAGCAGTTCCTGCTGTACTTGGATGAATTAAATGCCTTAGGGAAGAAGTTCATCATTCAAGATATTGATGACACTCATGTCTTTGTTATTGCAGAGTTGGTTAACGTCCTCCAGGAGCAAGTAGGTGAATTAATGGACCAAAATGCTTTTTTCTTACCCAGAAATGAAGATACTCCATATTGACCACTTAGGAATTACAAGTAACAAATGTGAGAGACGGTCACCATTCAGTGTCCTGTGTGACAGATGAGACTTAGCGGCTTAGGGACATATCATGGGAAACTTGTGATGTCATTTGTTCAGAAAAAAGTCCCTGAACTAATTTTCTTGTTTTTTTCCCCAGTACATGTACCCTAGAATTTAAAAAAAGAAAGAAAAAAACTTCAATTGTTGTCTGTAATTTGGCTTTTATTATCCTACATTAAAATATAAATGTAAATGGTTTTCCTACCTTTTTAATACCAATTTAGTACATTAAGAATATAATGGAATATCCCTTAATCAGTTTAAAAAAAAAAAAAAGAATTAACTCTCCATATGGGAAACAACATGGAGGGATGTCAACAACATTGTGTCACAACACAAGCCAAACTAAAAAGGCAACATCTTGAATGGTTCCATTTATATAAAGTTCTAGAAAAGGCAGCGATTAGTAACTGAAAGCAAATTGGTACTGCCAGCTGCTGTGGGTGGGAGGAAAAGGGGATCATGGAGGGACTATTTTACCTGACTTATTGGTAGTTACATGACTGCACATTTTTTAAAAAATGCATCAGATTGTTCACTTAAAATTGATGAATTTTATTGTGTGTACATTATTTCTCAGGAAGTCTCATTTTAAAAACTTAGTGACAAGAGTGGCATTCTTTTCTATTTCCGCAGATCTCTTTGATGTCTTGCTTAATAGAGGACATCTTGATTCTCATATCAGCTTCTGCATTTAAACTGTTGCCATGTGTTTTTTTTGGTTTAAGTATATGAAAAATATCCAGCCTGATGCAGGAAAGGGTTTCAGTAGATTTTTTAGGTAATCATGGATATTCTTGGCAGGTGTTATTTCAGAAAGGTTATTTACAATGGAATTTGAAATCATATTAATGAAGTTTCTGTACTCGCGTAAAAATCCACTGGTCTATCTTGTTGCTTTGAGTGCACCTTTTACCTGTGAATGATTTTGTAGCATCATTTGTTGGTTATTTGGAAAATATTGATTCATTGAGTTGCAAATGTTTGCATATTTATATTGCATTTATATTGTATAAAAAATAGCATTCCTTAGTTTTACCACCAGTCTTATCAGAAAAGTTAAGTATTGGGAAGTTGTTAGATCATAATGGTGGATACCAGTCATCCAAAATTCTGATTTTCACTTGAAAGATATTCTTTTATATTTGGCAGCAAATACTGTTAATTGTTTTTCTTGAAATGACAACTTCCCTCATTCATTTTTGAGAAAATGTATTAGCCAAGTCTGAATAATCACGGTTTGTCTACTGTTCTTTCAAATAAAAACAATGTTCATTTAAAAAGTGGCTAATTTAGCTCACAACTGAAATAATTACACAAGTGCTTCTTCAGGGTACTTTGGGTATGTAGCAGAAGTGCTATATTTGTAGTTCTCATTTTACCTTGTGAAATAGAAGTTTCACAAAGCAATATTTACCCTTCTCATTTTTTTAAAAGGTTGTATTCAGATGTTTTCCAAATGATGTTTGCATTCCCCCTCCCCAACCTTAAATGGCCCCAACATTAGAAAAATTATTTTCTATAATTTTTCTCTCAAAATTTCATTGACTTTGAAAAAAATATAAGTAGTGGGATAATTATGTTCCAAAGCCAGTTGGTTATGCTTATCCAAACCATCCATACTGCATCCTACTCTGTTTCTCTCTCTCTTTTTTTTTTAAGTAAGACTTTGTTTTTAGAGCAGGGAAATGGTACAGAGAGTTCCCACATATTCCCCGCCCCAACACATTCATGACCTCTCCCATTATCAACACCCCCCACCAGAGGGTACATTTGTTATAGTTGGTGAACCTACATTGACACATCATAGTCACCGAAGTCCATACTTTACTTTAGGGTTCATTCTTGGTGTGGGACAGAGATACAATGACATGCATCACTGTGGTATCCTGCAGAATATTTTAACTGCCCTAAGAATCCTTTGTGCTTCATCTATTCATACCCTACCTGCTACAAAACTCCTGGCAACCACTGATCTTTTTATTATCTGCATAGTTTTGCCTTTTCCAGAATGTCATATAGTTGGCATCATATGATATGTAGTCTTTTCAGATTGTCTTCTGTCACTTGGCAATATGCATTTAAAGTTCCTCTATGTCTTTTCATGGCTTGATGGTGCTTTTTCTTTTTAGTGCTGAATAATATTCCATTGGAATATTATACTATAGCTTATCCATTCAACTATGACATCTTGGTTGCTTACTCTTGCCATTTTTAATGTACTCTGGTACCTTCCATTCTACTCTTATTATTTCATTAAGAAAAAACGCTGGGCTATACCTAATTGTTTTCATAACCCACACTCTCAGTTCCAGCAGAACAGTCCCAGGTGTATTTGTATGCCAGTGGGAAAGGAAAATTGATGATGTAAGACAGGGAGAGAGTAATCACAGGTGCTGTATCTTTGAGAAGGCCTTAGTGATGAAATCCAGGGCATAAGTTAGGGCTTGGCCTTTTTTTTTTTTTTTTTTTCCCCAAGAGAATAGATCTATACCTTTATTTATTTATTTTCCAGTAAGTTTAAATCCTTGAGGGGTACAACATTACACGGATTCTGTGGCCAGTGGCTTTAGCAGGAAGGTTCTTTGGAATTTGGCACGAACCATGCCACTGTTTCCATGAGCATGAGTTACTTTTCCTCAGATTCCTCTGGTTTTGTTTGGTTTGCCACCAGGAGTCACTGTGGTGTTCTTTGCTTTGTACACATAAGCACATCTCTTGCCTAGGTAGAATTCAGATTCATCTCGAGCATAAACACCTTCAATTTTAAGAAGAGCTGTGTGCTCCCTCTGGTTCTGGAGACCTGGCTGATAGCTAGCAAAAATGGCCTTGGACCACTGCCTCCCAGACCTGTTTGTCGTTTTAGGAGTCCTGTTCCCAGCAGGCCTCCACAGGTTCCAAGATGGCCGGGGTTTGGCCTTTAATTGCTGCAAGGACAGTCATTCCTTGTTCCATACGAGGAAGATAGAGCATATGTGCACAGATGAAGTAATGGTAGTTGGAAGATGACAGAGCTCCTGTTAGAATGTTTCTGTGCTTTCCAAGTAGTGTGAGGCTGGCTGAGAAGGGAGTGTTGCAGGTGTGAAAAGAGTGAAATGGTCATTTTGTAGTAAAGCAGAGTTTGCTAGAGAAAGGTGAAAAAGTTGTACAGCAGTGTTGAGTGCCCATTTTAGGCTTATGTCATGGATTTCAAGTGAGACTGGTCAGTTCAGGGCTAAATGAATAAGCCCTTAGTGAACGTTAGCCATTACAGTTACTCTCTTCTCCATCCAGGCTTAGATGCTTGAGGGTCCTAGATGGTTGGTGAGAAAAATGCATGAGATTTTACTTTGAGAGACACTGACTCCAAACTTGTTCTGTGACTTAAAGTAGATGAGTATCTCAGTGTCATCATTTTGGAGGGTGAGTCTGTCCCATTCTTGTGAGAGCCTGGCTTTGGTCTTGTGTACCTCGGAGTTCACAGGCAGATCCAGAGATGCTTTGGCTGTAAAAGCAGGGCTAAAAAAGTAGTTAAGGGGTGGTGAAAGAGTGAAGGGCTTGACTTGGAGAGGCAGAAAAGGTGATACGATTCAAGTATTAAAAATCTTGAAAATATGAGTTGGTTGAATGTGGGGCTTATTCATCAGCTCCCACAATGATCTCAGCCACTTAATATTTTTAAGAGGTAAATTCAGGGCATCTAATTAGCAGAACTGAGATTTTAAACTCTAAAGTACTCCTTGCCAGATGGCACAGCTCCTAAAATGAGATGAAGAGATGAATGGGAACAATTTTATTAGTCATAATCTCTTGGCATTGTTCATCTTTTGAGCAGAGGTTATTGGACTTCTTGGGCCAAAGCCAGAGCAGTGGCTGCCATTTACTTTTTGGTTTCCAGCCTAGCTGTAGGGGTAATCAGATTAAACAAAGAAAATCTCTTTTAAACCTGGGATTTTATTACTTTAGAAGAGAAAGTCATTAAGCCTCCTTAACTCTTAATGAGATTACTTGAGCAAGTTTTTTAAGTAATTCTTACACCCATAATTCCCTTGTACACAGTGGCCTCACTGGGAGAAGACCTAGACCAGGTCTGACCAAATTTCGTAGACCCCATAGTGCTGTGATACCCTTGCCTAACAGAAACCACATAGTGATGGTGGTGGTGGTCGCCCACTGACTCTGGGGAGCTGAGGGAAGTATAAAATAATTATCCTCAAATGCACAGAGTTAAATAGGACCTGAAAGAAATCACCTAGCTTATTTCCTAGATAGGATCTCATTTATTTCTGAAGAGCTAACTTTTCCCAGTAATCTTTATGGCCAGCCCACATTTCTTGCTGGAATTTTAACCAGTCTCTTATTTAAAATTTACCACTTTCCAAGCCAACATACCAGTTTTGCGGGGAGTTTTACATGTACCATGCACATAAATATATTGGGATTAGGAGCAGTTCCTCCCTAATGTCCAAAGAACAGTCATATTTATAGATCAGGAATATTGAAATCTGTGCAAATGGAGGCAAAACGGGCTTCTGCCAGTGGGGGGGAGGGGGTCAATTGAGCCTTCACCCCGCAGGATTTTGCATGTCTGTAGACAAGAATTATTTTTCGTTGCCATCAGTTATCTACAATTTACAGAGCTGTGACAAAGCTCAAAGGCAGTGAATGGAATCCTGGAAGGGTAGCTCTAGAAAAGGCATAGTTTTCAATAAAAGCACAAATTTTTTCCTACACTCATTGATTCTTAATGTTGTGCCACAGGGAAAGTGTTGGTTACTGTATGAAAACGGTCTCAAAACTTGAACTATTTGCAGTATGATTCTTTCTAAAATACATTTTTACAGGATTTATGACATCATTTTGAACCATGACTTAAGTGTTTGAGGGTGCTGGGTAAGTCAAGTGCATTCTCAGCTATCTGAACTATAGTTCAGGATCACAAATAGATGTCCTGAAGGCTGTGCTCTAACAATGCCTGGCTATTCTTTATTGAGTAGATTAATGTACATTAATAATGGTGACCTTGAGATCAGGCTTACATTATCTTCAGATGTGTTAAAGTAGCAGGTGTTATTAAGATTGGTGTAATTACGATATCCTGAGATAAGGTGGATTGGGGGTGGGGTAGTGGATGTTAAAGGGATCTTGATGGGAAATAGGCAAGAATTACAAAGGAAAAAGGGAATCGAAATGGGTATCCTTTGTTTTTATAATCCAACTTTCCTGGAGGCTTCTGCTTTTATATTCAGTTAGTGTTCTTCATGTTAGTACTCTTTTCTTGGGAGTTAGAATGGTGTCTTTTGGATATATATAAGAAAGTGGTATCTTTCGTGCTCTCTCAAAAGCCTTCAGAGTATGGGGCTTGGGGGAAAAAACTTACAGTAGCGAACTAGGAATATCCTGTTTCCATGTTTGTATCTGAGGAAAGGAGAAGATAAGAAGGAGAGGCTTCCGTGACCCCTAGCCCTTTGTATTTTTGTGCTTGCCAGCTTTGAAATTTATTGCAAGTGATTCCCAAAGATGTTGTTCTTTTTTTTTTTTTTTTTAAAGATTTTGGGGCGCCTGGGTGGCTCAGTCGTTAGGCGTCTGCCTTCGGCTCAGGTCATGATCCCAGGGTCCTGGGATTGAGCCCCGCATCGGGCTCCCTGCTCAGCGGGGAGCCTGCTTCTCCCTCTCCCACTCCCCCTGCTTGTGTTCCCTCCTTTGCTGTCTCTCTCTCTCTGTCAAATAAATAAATAAATAAATCTTTAAAAAAAAAAGATTTTATTTATTTATGAGAGAGAGCGAGTGAGCACAAGGGGGGTAGGGGCAGAGGGGGAGGGAGAAGCAGACTCCCCACTGAGCAGGGAGCGCAACTTGGGGCTCCATCCCAGGACCCTGGGATCATAACCTGAGCTGAAGGCAGATGCTTAACCAACACTTAACTGAGCCACCCAGGTGCCCCCAGGATGTTGTTCTTGAGCAAGTTTGTATACTTCTTGATACTCAGTTTGTCAGCATAACAAAAATAAAACTTATGGTTCTTGCTTTACTGAGAAGATCTTTTGAATTTTAGGTAAAAAACATCAGAATGAATTTCGGCTTCTGGTGGATCAGGCCAAAAAAGGATACAAGAAAACTGTTGAAATGTCAAAAAAAAAAGTAACAAAAGAAGAAGATGGATCTACAGAAAAGCTATTACCTGTATGCGTGGGTAAGAGACTAATTACAGTTAGTAACTAAAAACAGAAATATGTTGAATTTCACTATTTTAAGATTTTATTTATTTATTTTGTCTTAGAGCATGTGTATGTGTGAGAGCAGGGAAAGGGGCAAAGGGAGAGAGGGGAGAGAGCCCAGAGCCCAACGCAGGGCTTGATCTCATGACCCTGAGGTCATGACCTCAGCCAAAACCAAGAGTTGGACACTTAACCACCCAGGTGCCCCTGAACTTTCTATTTGTTTTTAATATAAAAAGAAAACAAAACCATGGGAGTTTACCTTTTTATTAGGTATCTGAAGTGGAAAAAAGTATTTTTAGACATATAGCAGTTGTTGAATGTAAACTAAGTTTGTTACTGTGGGAAAAATGATTGGGAGAATGCCCTGAAGACAAGTTTCTAAAATCTTTGATTTAATGGTAAATCACAAGTTTCTTAGTTGTTTCAGTCTGAGGGTGTTTTCTAGGTATAGGATTTATTGCTTGCACATCTTCAAATATCCTACAAATAATTTTATCTTAGAATAATTTTTGTTTTAAGTCACTTATTTATTTTGGATGGAATGTTCTGCTAAAAAGTCTGAAGCTTATAAACTTGGTGTGCCCATATACAGCATGTCCTTAATTGGGATCCATTTTAAGTTTGAGATTAATATTATATTTCTGTTGCCAGGGCTTTGGGCCAGTGAACAAAACAGAATCATAATGGAGGAAAGTGCACATGAAAATTCCTTATTTTTTTCTTTATTGTGATAAACTATACATAATATTTATCATTTTAACCATTCATAAATGTACAATTCAGCGGCGTTAAATACATTCAGAATGTTTTATAACAATCACCACCATCTAGATCCAAAACTTTTTCATCATCCAACATAAACTCTGTACCCATTAAAAATAATAACTCTCTTGCCCTTTCCCAGTCAGACCCTGGTAATCTCTGTTCTACTTTCTGTGAGAATTTGCTTATACTAGGTACCTCATATAAGTGGAATCATTAATGTTTGTCCTTCTGTGTCAACTTCTTTCACTAAGCGTAATATTTTCAAGGTCCTTTTGTAGCATATATCAAAATTTCATTGCTTTTTATGACAAAATAATATTCCATTGTGTGTACATGCCACATTTTGTTTATCTGTTCATCTGTAATGGGTTATTTTCACCTTTTGGCTATTGTGAATAATGCTCTGTGAAGATTGGTGTTCAAATATCTGTTCAAGTCTTTGCTTTGCATTCTCTTGGGTATATACCTAAGGGTGGAGTTTCTGATTCTTATGGTAATCTACATTTACCTTATGAAAAACCACAAAACTCTTTCCAAAGTGGCTGTACCATTTTGTATTCCTGCCAGCAGTGCTTAACGATTCCAGTGTCTCTATATCCTTGCCAACACCTGTTCCTTTTTTTTTTTTAACCATAGCCATCAAGGTAGGTGTGAAGTGAATATCTCATGGTTTTGATTTGCATTTTCCTAATGACTAATAATGTTGAGTATCTTTTCATATACTTATTGGCTATGTGCTTTTCTTTGGAGAAATGTCTGTTCATGCTCTTTGCTCATTTTTCAGTTGGTTTTCTTGTTTTTTAAAGGAATTCTTTATATATTCTGGATATTAATCCTTTTTCATGTATATGATTTGCAAATATTTGTAAATATTTTCTTCGTTGCCTCTTTGCTTTCTTCATAGTTTCTTTTGATGCACAAAGGTGCTTAATTTTGATGCAGTCCATTATATCCATTTTTTCTTTTATTGCCTGTGCTTTTGGTGGTATATCCATGAAATTGTTGCCAAATTGTTCATGAAGATTTTCCTCTTTGTTTTCTCCTAAGAATTTTTTTTTTTTTTAAATATTTTATTTATTTATTTGACAGAGAGAGAGACAGCGAGAGAGGGAACACAAGCAGGAGGAGTGGGAGAGGGAGAAGCAGGCTTCC